TATTGCTTGATAGTAAAATGCAATTTCATCTCCACATAGACAACATTTCGTTTCGTTCTACGAAACACCAAAGATTTCCAAAGCCACAAGATCAAGATCTTGTTTTACAATGCTCTCGTACTCAGTGGCTTAGAGTATAGTTGTGTCGTTTGGAATCCTAAATATAATGTTTACGTGAAAATACTGGAAAGCGTTCAAAGGCGGTTTCTATGGCACCTGACTTATTCTTGTAATTTGGAAAAAAACATTACGTCATACTCCGAGCGAATGAAACGTTTTGGAATGATTTCTGAGGGATAGAAGGTGAATGCTCGTAATTCACTTCCTGCACACCGTTCCCTCGAAGCTGCCGCAATCCTTTTCTATATATATATTATTTTCTAGGACTGTTTATGTAAATCCAACCAAGGACAACAAGCACCTTTAAACAGAATGGTTAGGAATAACGATAATTTATCGAGAACTTCTACAATGGACTTGTTTTTGGATAGAGCCGCCAAGCTATAGAAAGAATTGCTGAAAATATTTTCCGAAGATACTAAATACTTAAAAATTTATTAATTAATTTAAATACTTTGTTAATCACAGATTTTTTTTTAACTGTTTTAGTTTGGTTTATTGTCAGACAAATTTCCTATTCTACCCATTTATTTGTAGAAACTTAAATAGTATTATTAGTCCATGTAGGAATCATACCTAAATTTACTGCACTGTTTTTTTACTGTTATTTTATTTTTATTTTTTTCTGCGCATAATATCACGCTCAAATTATTCGATGATGAAATAAATAAATCAAAAATAAAATAGCCTCTTCATATACTAAGCTTTAGTCTAGTATATTAAGAGATATTACCGAGAATTTACATTCCACCATCACCGGCGTTTAACATTGCCTCATCAGTTCACTACTAACGGAGAATAACGATTCCTTGCAAATTTATAAACTCACCGGAACGGATTATTTTAAATATAATTTAATTTTTCAATAAGCTGGGTCCATGTTACTCTAGAATTCATAAAGTAAGTAACTCGTTCATGGGGCAGTGTATACGCTTCTACAACAGAATCCCAGTAAATGCTTAAAGCCTGCCAATCAACAGGTTTAAGAAATTTATTAAAGAAAACTTTTATATAAAGGGTTACTATAATATTTTTACTAAAAGAAAAAAAAACCGTTGTATATTATTTTAATTTTTTCTAGAGGAAAAAAAATACAGAAAAGAAGATACCTGCGGAGTTTCTTTCGCCTGTTTCTACTCCGTTAGAGGAACCTCATTACAAAACGGTGGTAGATTTTAAAAAATGATGACTAATCGATATATGGAATGTATGTTTCTTATGTCGATTAATAAATGATTTTGATTTTAAGCACTTTATGGCCATTTGTATTACGTTTGAAATCCATGGTGTTGGACGGCGCTTTAAACTGACTTATTTGATCACGGCGTGAACATCGTATAGAACAATGCTTAAAGATGTGGACCTTATCATCTATTATGTTTGCTTTAACTAAAGTCTTATATTAGATGAGTACGTACAAAATTGCTCTATGATCATCTTAGTAAAATAACGCACGTATAGAACCTTGTGTTTATGTTTAGGAGACTTTAAAACATAGGAAAAGTAGATAATATTATGTTTGGAGAATCCAGCGGAAAATTGTCCATTATAGGAGAAAGGAAACCATAGAAGGATTGGAGGGTAGGTTTAAATCTAAGGCTGTAGCTAATTCCTATATGGTTTACGATAAATCAAAATCAATATAAAATATAATCTTCCTATCTGAATATGGAGCATATATCTTATATCTTATATTATCTAATATATTGTCTCTGCTCAAAATGGACAGTATTAAAAGTCGACAATTTTATACTTGATATGCTTATGAAAAGTATGAGGGTAACGTTGTTTAGCTCGAGCTAAGAGAATTTACTGCCGAAGCGGCACACGAGGAGGGAAGCGAAAGCAGGAAATTAGTCGAGGCACAGCGGTGATGGCTCTCCTAGAGCAATTTAGCACAGCTGATTGGGTTTACCCGCCGTAGCGGCGGGGCCGGCAACGCGGCCTCTGCCAATAAACTTGTTACTGTGAATAAGGTCACAATTGTTTATGTATACGTTATTTTCTCACAACACTGAGGAGGAGAATGATTGTATTTCGTATTTAAAAATTCCTTTCCAATCCATTTCTCGTTCGTTATTAACTTTTATATACCTTAAATAACTGAAATTTACTCAAAATCGGTAATAGTCGAAGATCGACATTTTTTGTCAACATGCAACATATTTATTCGTATTATATTAGTTGGTGTTGGATATTTGTTAATATAATTGAGCACTGGCGCGGACGAGGTACGACAGCATGTAATGCATAAGAGATTTTCGTCAATTGACTTTACAATTCAGATGTGGTGGTTCACGCCCGGCTCAATCGTTGCTGTCTCGGATATTGATAAAAAAAGATCTCTGACCTTGTGGGTACACAATACTCAATAACCTATTGGCCGGTTTAAAATAACGAATTTTGTAGATTACTCACAATACTCTTAATACTTTTGTGTGATCATTGTTTATGGGATTATTCCTAATAGTATTTGCGCAATAACGTTAAATAATCGTCTGCATCGTTCGAGCTAAATATTTTTAGGATTCCGTACCCAAAAGGTAAACCGGGGCCCTATTACTAATATTCCGATGTCTGTCTGTCTGTCCGTCTGTTACCAGGCTGTATCTCATGAACCGTAATAGTTAGACAGTTGAAATTTTCACAGATGATGTATTTCTGTAGCCGCTATAACTACTAAAAACAGAATAAAAAATATTAAAGTGGGGCTCCCATACAACAGACATAATTTTTTTGCCGTTTTTATAAATAATGTTACGGAACCTTTGTGCTCGAGTCCAACCCAACCACTTGGCCGGTTTTTTATTAATTTTTAAAACAATGTATGATCCCATAGAGTAGATGTATATTTATAACAGGGCTGGTTTAAATATATTTGTTATCATGATGTAGATAGACAGGAGAAAGGGCCTGACGCAGTTCGTTTGTTTGCCTCACGAAGGAAAGACGATATGATTTTTGGCCTAGACCAGTCCACAGGTGGGCTATATCCACTGAACACTTTACTTTATGTGATAAAGCAACGAGCGTGTTTGCAGCTCACCAAATTACATGAAAGTAAACTAATTTCAACAAATAATAGTGAACTAAACGATCTTAACGACGTCGTGATTTTTTTTAAATAAAAACATTTCATTTGATTTAGCAATAAATAATTAACTATCGTTTATACATATTTTATATACAAATTAACCAAGCAGGACAAAAAAGTGAGCAGAATATTAATTCTGCTCACAATGTTAAAACTAATTAACGATACAAGACTAGAATTTGAACGGTCATCCTTTATCCTCACAGTAAAAATCCACGACGACGAATGGCTTCTAAAATTTTCTTCTTGGAGAAACTAAAATCACTTTGCGTGGTAAACTTACCAAGCCTGGAATTCAATACTACAAACCCAGGGTTTATGAGTTATATTTATAGGCTGATTCGCTACTCTAAATATCTTATGAATAAAACAGCAACACGGGAGAACGTATTCATTTAACACCAGGTGAACCACTCGCTTGACAACTTTTCACATTAAAAAAATGTTGACTAGCAACCACTAAATATACATTAAAACTACCAAATTACCAATATTTTTTTCTATATTTTACTACTGAATGTTAATCCCGAAGACTTTAAAATAGCAAACATTGCAAATCGAATAATAACTTTTAAAAAATCGGTGCATGTTTGAGCCGCGTTGACAAAGGCAATTTGCAGCAGTTTTATCTACACGTAAACATTTTTAAGTTTCGTTTTCACGGTAATGACTAGTAATACAAATGAAAAAATATATTTATACGCTTACATTTCCCTATAGGTGAGGTAATCAGGGTACACGCAATACGAGGTGAGCTATTGAGGTGCGGTAACCATGGTTGTTTTGTGGGATAAAGAAAGAAATCATGGTACTGAACAGAATGAATGGTCGTCTCGAAGAGAACCGCATTCAGCTTCTGGGCCCGTAGCAAACTGAACTCCAGTACTGATTAGAGTAAAGAGCTTTAAATAAGGGATTAACCTATTTCCAGAAAGGACCAACATAATAATTTCAATAATAATGTGACTCTGTGCGACATTACCAACGGTCCGGTTCGAGAAACTTTCGAGAAGCTTTCTAATTACGTTCCATTGCACTGCAAGCTGTCGACGTCGATTTTTTCTCTTTAGATTATTTAGATTTTTAATGTGAACTATGGCGAACGCTAATAATTAATTCTAGCCATACATTATCATACCTTTTTTTGTTCACAGCTTCAAAGAAGACTCGCCGCCACCATCGGCCAAAGGCTCGCTAAGTGAGTTTCGCTCTAGACGTATCCAGTTCTAACAAATAGTCTGTATGATTCATTTCTGTGCTCGTTTCATGGAAAACGCTGGCCGAAACGCGCGCCACGCTGACAATTTTCCTTCATTTATCTAAGAGAAAATCATGTTTTAATTAATCTCTATCAAAATAATTTTGGTTCATTACGCTCGACCGGGAACAAAAAGAGGACCAACCCCATTACATTTTTAATGTTGCAATAAGTTTTTGGGTTTCATATTGCATTAAGTATTTGCCAGTGCGGCTATTCTTCCAATCAGTTTAAAATCTTGAATTAATGTCTTAAATATATATGATTTTCTCTAAATATGTGCATTAAATAAATACTACACATTGGTCATATCATCCATGATAGTGGAGCATTAGTTTTTTTACATTCTTTTGTTTTTTGGAAGATGGAAAGAACTGGACAAACATATATATCCCAGCAGATCTTATCCTATGAAATTTCTTAATCATTATAATGAACGTTTGTAAATATACATAAATGCGTACCTTTTTAGGTTGTACGTATATATTTTAGAATCTGTTTCCCCTTGAAAATATAGTTTCACTGAAGATGAGAAAGGTCTCGTTGCACCCGCGGAGGGAGGACGAGCGAAGGGCGTCCCGCGGGGCGGGCCACGTGCCAAGCGTGAGCACCGCGCGCACCACGCGCAACTTCCGAGATCAAGCGCACCACGCGAAACGACATCAATGGGTGCGCACAAAACTATCACGAGTGCGCCCGACCCCTTGCAGTGCGTTCAAATATATTCTTCGTCGTTATTGTTTACTGTGTGGTGTTATACGCATGCAAATGCTTTCTTCAGTGTCGCTGTGTTGGAAGAACAATTACATTTGATTTGAACTGACAATCAGTTCTAATGAAATGTATTGTTTATAAATGTTTTATTAGCTGCGCGCGTACTATCTTAATCCACCTAACAGTTGTAACATTTTGAGAAGCCTTCCGTTCGCTTTAAATATTTACTTTTTAACTGTGGTAGGTAGGCACACGAGTGCCTTTGCCGTTGCACGATTGAGCAGGGAAGTAACACTGTCTCCCAGATGAGCGGCGTGAAATTATATTATTAAATTTGCCAATTTGAATCGACTGGTAAGTGAAGAGACGGGGCACTCTCTTGCTCTTAAAGGTTGACAAGGCATCTGGGGAACCGCCAGTTGGCATGCCACCTCGTCACATAAATATACACTGAAATCTTCCTATTGATATGACAATGTAATTCACGAAATTACGATGACGGCGATCGCTAAAAATAGCTCCTAGTTCAGACATAGTGTTGAAGCTAAGCCTGAAAATGTTATCGATAAACATTATGAAACAAGCGCTACCGGCTAAAAGGATTTCTTTGCAAATGAACCTTTCCTCATTTTCTGTTTGTGACCTACCTACCCGTGCTAATAAAGTTGATATTGCGTCAGCGCAAGTCGTGGGTATATCGACTGGGAAATCCTAGAGTAGGGATGCGTCCGATTTCACACGTTAGCAACGTCAGACTTGGTGCACTCGTTACGGTGCAAAGGGTTGAACGACCGCTGCGGCGACACCGCCAGATGCTGCTGCTTTTACTCGCTACGCAAGCGCCGGAACCGCGCCCATGTCCTACAGCTACTCCCACTGTTGATTAATAGGGATCCACTTCGCTGATCAACAATTTCTCAATCCTTGTACCTGGCTCAAAGGTTTAAGTTAATTAAAAAAGCAAATTAATGAACTTTAGGATATATTCTGACTCACAGAGTTGCAAATATGTGGACTTACCGAACATCGTTACTGATGAAGTTATTAAAACAATAAATTTTATGAACTATTTTGACGTATGCAGTGGTAGGGCCACGCAGCACCCTCGGCTGTTGCACGAATGGGCAGGCCCGTCCGCGTAAGTACCATGACCTCACAGAAGACCAGCGTAAAGTGGAAGTATGACAAATACTTTCGCGTTTCGTCTGGTGAGTGAGGTAACCGGAGCCCAATTTTCAAATGGTTGTTCAACGCCTCTGTAACCCTCGGGTGTAGCAGATGTCCATTGGCGGCGGTATTCACTTAACATCTGGTGAACCGTCTGCTCGTTTGGAAACTTACACATTAAAAAAAAAATGTGTACTCACGTCTTTACAAAGCATAAGGGCATTGCCCATTGAGCCGTTGAGCCCTAAGAGCGCACTAAAAGGTTTTCCAACGTTGATTAAGTAATACATCATAATTGAAATAATGACCATAATTTAACAAACTTTTTCGAAAGGTGATTCTGATATACTTACATATCGTTCTATAACTACAGATATTGTAATATATATTTTCACCAAACGACGCTTTCAAAGTCTCTCATTTAAAATTCATTAGTATCATTTTCTTTATCACAAGTACAATTAGAATTCGTATTTCCATTTCCGACGTTCACATAGCGAATAATGTTTAATACTAGGAGATAACGAATAAACATCTCGGAACATTAGTACGAGCATGTGGTGCATCCCCCGCGACCCTTCCGCAGCCGCTTTCACCTGCGCACCAC